TGAACACACAACACAGACATTTTCAGCGTTCCAAAATATTTTGTCTTCACCCAGGATTTACATTTAAAGTAATAATCTGAATATCAGGTGAAATAGTGTTGTTCCTGTATATGCAGACAAAACCGGTTATGCATATGTGTTTCTTATTTTCTTTCAACAACTGCAAAGAGTTTTCTAGAAAGAAGACAATTGCAGCGAAGAAAATTTTCTTTTCGACGAAGTCATCATCTTGGTTGTACATTCGTGTATTTATATCAAATGGATAAGAAAGTTCCAGAATAATATCCGGTCAAGGGTCAAATTAGTAAAAATTACAATTAGGAATTAAAATGTCATAATAAACAGGGGGATGGATAAAACAAACAAAGTAGCATCATGATAGCTAAGAAGATTGAAATTGTGCAATTAGGGGTTAGAAATGTAGAAATAACAAAATAGACAGGATAAGAACTAATGTGATGAATAATTGTTTATGCAATCAGGGATTAAATGTGTGGAAATAGTAAAATGACAAAATAAACACGAAGTTTGGGTATGAAAATATGGTAGTGTAAACAGGGATTAAGAAAAACTTAAAATAACAAGAATAAACAGGAAGTTTTGGTAAGAAAGGCGATGGGATGGTCATTACTAAAAAATTACCTGTTTATGATGGCCATGGCAGGGACAAGTGTTAGACGTATTTCTTTTGGATACATAGCGTAGATTTAAACTTTTGGATAGCTAGTGTCTCGGCTATGCCCAGATGTCTTGATTTGACTCCCTTTGATAGGTTTGATTGAATCTTGTATACTATTTTGAAGGATTTTTCGTATGGCACTGAATGTCCTGAATTGACCAGATGTTCTGTCACTGAACTGTATACACGCTTTTGGTTTCCTTTTACTAACCAGGCTGGGTAGTGTTCACGAGCGCGTTTTTCAAGTCGGCGCATGGTACGACCAACGTACTCAGCTCCACAAGAGCAAGTAAACTGGTATATGCACGTTGAGGTGGCCCAATGCGACAGCTTGTCTTTCGCGTTCTGACTGAACAGTTTCTTGCAGGAAAACGTCAGTCGTAGGCTCGCGGCGAAGTATGTTTTCCTTAGCGATTTGGAGAGGCGTTTGCGAAGGATTTCTGCTTCAATATCACCTTTGAATTCTAGATTAAGCAGAAGTATTTTCTTTGGAACGGAATGGACTTGTTCGGAAGTCTTCTTACATTTGAGATTCTTGTCTATGAATCTTGGCGGGAAACCGTTTTACATCAGGGTTTTTCGAAGATTATGCAGTTCTTCTTCAACCACTTCCTCGCTGCATATCTTCCGAATCCTCGAGGGAAGAGCGTATATCAGGTTCCTTTTTCTACTCAGGGGCACGCAGCTTTGAAAGTTGATGAATTGTCCATTCCATGTAGGCTTTTTGTATATGGACCTTTTCAGAGAGTTGTCGGCGTTTCTTGTCAGATGGACGTCGAAGAAGTGGAACATTCCGTCGGATTCAGTCTCAAGTGTAAAGTCGATGTTTGGGTGGGCATTATTGAAGATTTGGAGTAGTTTTTCTACATCACAATTCACATCACAAATAATGAAATTATCATCGATGTATCTTTTGTAGAGATAGAAGTCGTTGATAGTCGTACCATGCGCTGACATGAAAAACGCGCTCGTGAACACTACCCAGCCTGGTTAGTAAAAGGAAACCAAAAGCGTGTATACAGTTCAGTGACAGAACATCTGGTCAATTCAGGACATTCAGTGCCATACGAAAAATCCTTCAAAATAGTATACAAGATTCAATCAAACCTATCAAAGGGAGTCAAATCAAGACATCTGGGCATAGCCGAGACACTAGCTATCCAAAAGTTTAAATCTACGCTATGTATCCAAAAGAAATACGTCTAACACTTGTCCCTGCCATGGCCATCATAAACAGGTAATTTTTAGTAATGACCATCCCATCGCCTTTCTTACCAAAACTTCCTGTTTATTCTTGTTATTTTAAGTTTTTCTTAATCCCTGTTTACACTACCATATTTTCATACCCAAACTTCGTGTTTATTTTGTCATTTTACTATTTCCACACATTTAATCCCTGATTGCATAAACAATTATTCATCACATTAGTTCTTATCCTGTCTATTTTGTTATTTCTACATTTCTAACCCCTAATTGCACAATTTCAATCTTCTTAGCTATCATGATGCTACTTTGTTTGTTTTATCCATCCCCCTGTTTATTATGACATTTTAATTCCTAATTGTAATTTTTACTAATTTGACCCTTGACCGGATATTATTCTGGAACTTTCCTATCCATTTGATATAAATACACGAATGTACAACCAAGATGATGACTTCGTCGAAAAGAAAATTTTCTTCGCTGCAATTGTCTTCTTAATAACTCCTGTGACCCAATGTGTATACTCCGTGATTTAAAGAGAAGCAGGGACCATTCTACGGTAAAGGAACTGAACAAGTTTCTTCGTTTGTCCGTCAAGCTTGCTGAGGCGAACGCAAAGATTTTTCTCTCCAAGAATTGTCTCGAGAAACATGAATATCCCAAAGTGTTTTGGAAGCATCTCAGACGAAATCACATATCTCCTAACTCACGTACACTGAAACGACACACTCTGAATCACATCGATGCAGTGAGATCAAGACTACCTGAGCTAGAACAGAATATCTCAAAACGCTCCCACGTCCTCTATGAGTTATCTGAAGACGAGAGAACATCATTCGAAAACTACTCCAATACGTTTACAAAGAAAAGAGCAAATGATTTTATAATGAAACTAAACCAAAGCCTAAAGTCCGTTACAAAAGAAACCGTCTTTCCTAATTGTCCAGAAAAATACGTCTACAATTATTCCGATGTTCCACTATCTCCAATTCAAATGCAAATTCTAGCACTTGGACCTCAATTTTGTGATGCAACGTCAAAAGTGAATGAACTGAACATGAAAGTGCAACTGAGGACCATGAGCTTGGCTCTCGGAGATTCAATCCTTGATCAACCCAGAATGATTAACAAAACTGTTGTAGGTAATTTCCGAATTCCCATTTAGGCATTTAGAAAAATACAACAGATTGAGCGAAGAAAGATGCATTCCTTTTCAATTAGTTCTTCATCATGGGTTCTACACTATTATATAGTTTTTTTACATCAAACTTCTTTACCAGTCAACTGGTTACCTTAGTTAATCATTTGTAAGTATAGAGGGGAGGGTGAAATTATGAGGTTAAAGGTCACGGAATATACATATTGGATCATAGGAACTATAAAACAAAGACGGTTGTAGCGAAGAAAATTTCCTTTTCAACGAAGTCAGCATCAACTATGCTGAGCATTCGTGTATTTATAATAAATGGGTGGGAAAGTTCTAGAATAATTTCCGGTCAAGGGCCAAATCAATAAAATTACAATAAGGAATTAAAATATCATAATAAAAAGAGGAGGGATGGATAAAACTCAAACGAAGTAGCATCACAATTACTGAGAAGATTGACATTGATTGTGCAATTTGGGCTTAGAAATGTCGAAATAACAAAATATACAGAATGCTTAGATAAAAAAATCTGACCAGATCATAATTACTGTGATGAATAACTGTTAATGCAATCAGGGATTAAATATGAAGAAATAATAAAACAGACAGGAAGTTCGGATATGAAAATATGTTAGCGTAAATAGGGATTAAGAAAAACTTAAAATAACAAGAATAAACAGGAAGTTTTGGTAAGAAAGGCGATGGGATGGTCATTACTAAGCGAAATTACCTGTTTATAATGGCCATGGCAGGGACAAGTGTTAGACGTATTTCTTTTGGATACATAGCGTAGATTTAAACTTTTGGATAGCTAGTGTCTCGGCTATGCCCAGATGTCTTGATTTGACTCCCTTTGATAGGTTTGATTGAATCTTGTATACTATTTTGAAGGATTTTTCGTATGGCACTGAATGTCCTGAATTGACCAGATGTTCTGTCACTGAACTGTATACACGCTTTTGGTTTCCTTTTACTAACCAGGCTGGGTAGTGTTCACGAGCGCGTTTTTCAAGTCGGCGCATGTTATGACCAACGTACTCAGCTCCGCAAGAGCAAGTAAACTGGTTTAAGGCATATTCAGGTTGCTGAATTAACTATTAGCTGTTAGTAAGAAGATACCTAAGCTTTAAAAGTGAGTGAAAGTAAATTACGGAATTCAAGATAAGTTGACTTTTAGGATTTAGCAGGAAGTTATTACATAATCAAGAATAATAGGCTGACTCAGAAGGGTTACGTAAGAAACAAACATGTCAATAGAATTAGCTAGAATTGTAAAAAATAACAAAGTCAAATAAGGGGAGGGGAAAATCCTCTTCATACATATTATGTAGTTGGCCACTGCGAAGAAAGGGGTTATACACATTTCTCTTGAACTGGTGCACAGATTCAGGTTGTTCAGATGAATTCCAATTGCCTCTGCTGTATGTGAAAGTCGTATTCGTAAACCATGCGACAAGAAGTTGTGTGATATACTATAAGTAACTTTAGAAGCTTTGTCCAGTCAGAATCGACGAAATGAGCTAGTACTGAGCTATGTATAGCTTTATTCTGACCTTTGCCAAACAAAGATGGGAGGTGTTCAGAAACTTGTTGATTAAATTGCTTGATCGTACTTCCTGTGTAACTCCGCACGGGCAGTTAAACTGGTAAATACACATGGAAATGGCGAAACAGTTTTAATTTCATGTGTAATGCAATTGAATACATATTCACAATTTAATACACTGTAAATAATATTACATGGGTTTTCAAGTTCTGTTAAATGACGCTAAGTTCGAACCCCTTTAGTTCATTTTTCAGGCTTTATATATATTTAATCAGAGCTCTCGCAGAGTGTTACTCAATCACTTATTCATTCACATCTTATAAACGAAATCATTTTTCGTAGAAAATACGGAAACTTCATCAATAAACGCAAAAATTAACAATTTTGTTATGAATCTGCTTTTACTTCTCTCTTTTTTTCTCAAGGGCTTATTCTGCTTCCATGTACGCACTGTCGATATGGATGTTTTTGAAGGTAGGTTTATTAATGTGTGGTATATTTAATTAGTTGCAAATATCTATTCAAAAGTTTAAAAGATCGACACCAGTGGGCACAGATTATTCTTCAGATAACTTCTTCTTCAATTAGGTTGTACAGTTATATATCCATAATAATTAAAATATTATCGTTATTCTTTAATTCAATTTAGATTTTGCCGTCGATTGATTCAACTGAAGTACTCAGTCTCAGGTTGATGTGTCAGATTCTTGTGCACATACTTCGACGATGTCTGGTCATGTAACCTGAAGTCAATTTATCGATGGTGGCTAGCAGTGAAATCCAGAATAACGCGCATTTCGTCCTATTTGGGACTTATCAGCCAGTCGATGTACCTGCATTCCGCAGTGAGTGGTGGTTTTCTCATCGAGGCTTCAACCCAGTGCTCATAGTTTCAAACGCAAAAGCATCATCCATTAGACCACTTGGGCGACGAGAGCCACCTCTTATGCAGCAGGTCTCATTAATTATTATTTAATGTAATTCTGGTAGATAATGCTTTGGCATCTGAAACTATTCGCACAGGGTTCAAACCTCGGTGGGAACACCATCACTCACTGGGGAATGCAGGTAAATCCAATGGCTGACGAGTCCTACATGGGACGAAATGTGCGTTGTCTTGGATTCTACTGCTAGCCAGTTGGTAACATTACAGTTTTGAATAACACTGAATCAGTAGTATCAGCAGATTACAGTGCAATGGTATTTGTGAGTGATGATATTCATTAATATAACACTAAACTGAATATAAGATCGATTTATGGGATAGAGGATTTATGAGCGTATAGGTTTCACAGGAAGCCAGGGTCGCAATAGTATCTGAACCTGTTTCTGTTTTTACACAGAGCTTCAGTTTTTTAAGGTGAATAGTAATGGCCTCTACTGTTTGGAGTGTTCAGTGTCTACAGGCCTCTAGAAATTTATTCAGTACGCGATGAATGATAGAGGAAGTCTCCTAATTTCTATCTTTTTGGGATGCTTGGACGAGTTGGTTTAATGCAGAACTAATGGTATTTAATTATTTAACTTATTCAATCAGTTAATTGATTAAATAATTACAGAATAAAACTGTTAATTAAAGAATTCCAATAATAGACTTGAGTACACACAATATTCAAACCGTCTATACTCGAATTTATTCTCAGCCTACGCATTATACCAGAACAAGCTTTACTTACCGAAATTTTGTGTAAATAATGAAAGAAATCAACTTGACATTGTTTTAAACTTGCTTTAAAGTAACACATTGATAATATGTGTTGATTTGCGGGAATTTAATTTGATTAGTCACAGGATTTCATTATGAGCTGGCATGGGTTAGGAAATCACTTGAAAAACAGCTGAGAGTACTAGACAACCATTTCGTCCTACATTGGGACTCATCATCAATACACATCCACCGTGAAAGTTAGAACCTAGTACCTTCTGGTTACAAGATGAGGTCATAAACCATCCATCGACTGGGACCCAATCCAATGGGCATTGCATGAATTCCGGCTCCTCTCATTTCTCAATACAGCAGGACCACTAGGGAATATCTTCAGTGAGTATTTGTCCTCACATCCCACCTGCTCCGCTAGTAGTCGTGCTATATCGTGAATTGGCAGAATTCTGAATTCGTGCACTGGCCATTGGATTGGGTCCCGTTGACTTAATGATCTACTAGACTGTTAACCCTGTAACCAGAAGGTCCTGGGTTCGAACCCTGGTAGTAGGTGCGGACTTATGAAGAGTCCCAAAATTGGCTGACGAAATATTAATCTCCAACTCATTGATAACAACTCGACTGATTTCCTGAAGCTGAACTGAGAAGTTTTGACCATTTGGGTTCAGCATTCCAATCGGGGGAAAATGGTAAAGAGTGGGTGGATAAACAGCACATAATGAGCATGGCCAAATTGAGAAGAAATGGGCAAATTTTATGCATATGATATATGTATTCTTATTTTGACCCTTATTTGACTAAAATGTAACTATTATTTTAACAGAATTTAGCAGTAACTTTCCATTTTAATCATTATTTAATCATTCCTCACTCATCTTTTGTCCGACTGGTATGCTAATATGAAGTGGATGCTAACTGAAGGCATTCGTTCAGATTAGCTCTGTTACAGAAACTGATAAAGTTAGAATTCACGGGGTCACTAACGGCCCAAGTGTTTAGATGGTCAATGAGCTTGGTCTCATTGGGTAGGCTCTTAGGAAACTGTCTAATGACATCTCACGCTAGGCAGTGGCTAGAGTAAAACTCAAATCGGCGATGATGTGTCGGGCATGGGACTGTGACTTAGAGGAAATCGTATAAGGAGGAGGTCAGAGACTGAGCGCAATCGTGACATCAGCTAAAGAGGACCACAGAGAATCGAACAAAGTAGAGACATGTTGCTGAAACCCTATATTCTACTTGGAATTCAAGGGAATAATAATAATGTAACAGTAAATACAAGCAAACTGCAAAGAAAACAGTGACCTAACGAAGAAGTATAAGATTGTCTGGTGAAGGACATATTATTTGAGCGTCAGTGTATTCACAGCAAGTATATTACCGTGATGCATTATTTACAAAACTTTCTACCCTCCATTTCTTAATATTTCTCAGTTTTAGTTGATTCATCACGTGAATAATACAAAAGACAGTGCTAGATCCAGGTAATATGGCGCAACGTACATAATATGTTGCTTCCATATTGATTGACAATATAACGTTCACCAGCTCAGTCGATTTCTTCTACTTTAATATTATTACTCTTTTAAGGAAGCTAAAACTGATTTCCACAATCCACGCCATATTATGCATAGATGCAATGACTAAAACCGAAGTAGTGTGGTTTGAAAGCAATGAGTCAACCGTTACGTTCTGCTGAAGAGCTAACCAAACTTCCGTGAGTGTCTCATAGTCCCAACATCAGCAAAAAGATAGTTGTATGCGATAAAATCTGTCATACTGTAAAACAATAATAGCATATCGATAAAGTAAAATTACCTCAACAGTGCAACTAGACAGCTGTACAGATCAACGGTTTCTCAAGTACCAAAGAAGAACTGTAGAACAAAATTATACAACTAGATCAACCATAAAAAGTGCGTGGGGATCAAGAAGAATGTTTCTAACAAGATGTGATTAAATTGTTGTCTGCAGGAATCAAACCCATGCGACGCCTCCCGCAGACAATGCAAGGTCAAACTTCACACGGAGTACCTTTGAATTCATTCAAAACAAAATCACACTCGTAAAAATAACACATCATCATAACACTCGCACAACCTCAAATAGGAGGAGTAAAATTAGGGAACAAATGGGAACAAAGACATATGATAAGGATTAAGTTAACAGGTGCTATGCCAAAGTTGGAACATTGATATACAGTCTAGAGGAAAAGAGGATAGTAACCATTATGCTAGTTATGATATCCAAATAAGTAGTAATATTGTAAACAGACATTTTAAGAGGGATTTTCCAAGCAGTTATTCCGTTACACAGATGCAGAATATATGACGACCAGAACTAATCCTAGATTCTAAGCTTCACGTTCTTGTCTGTTTCGATAGCCAGACTGATTTAGCGTGGACATAAATCTGACAAACTAGATGATGTGATAAAAAAGGACAGTTACGTGACTTCTATTCACAAAACCCCCAGTGAATGATGTGAAAAATGAATCTCTGCTAATACATAGTTACATAGTCGGAGGCGATCGGTGATCGGAAGTCTTGGACCTAGGGTTTCGTCTTTATTGACACTCATCAGTAAGGCGTATCTTCATTAGTGAATGAAATTATATCGCTTTTGAGATTCAAACCGTTCTCACCTGACTGATAGAATTCAGCCTGAACCAAACAAAGGCCTAGACGCATAACATTATTTACTACGCAGAGTCCAATCGAATTGTCGATGACAGTTTTGCAGGAAGTTAAACAAGATTTCGAATAGCTCAGTGGTAGCGTTCTTGACTTCAGGTTCAAATCACAGAAAGGGCCAGAGTTTTTCAAGGCTTTAGATACGCCTTGCTGACGAGTACCAACTAGCACGAAACCTAGGTCCAAGAATTCCCTGTGATAGCCTCCGGCAACCTAACAACTATTCAGAGTGCACCTAGTATGGTGGCCACACTACAAACCTGAATGGTAGAATCCAGTCTGCACCAAACAAAGTAGTGGATACATTACACTGCTTACTGAATAGTATTCAATCATGATATATATCCTGTATTTTGTATAGAAAACTTTGTTGTTGTCGCCGCTGTTATTGCAATTAAATGTAACTTTTCTATTTCTACTCAGTGTGGGGAATATTTATCATGTGATTAGTTGGTTAGGGTGTCGTGATTGGGAGAGGATTCTAGTCAAAACTTGATACTAACCAACAAATCACTAATACTCCCTTATAACAATGGCTGTATTTTACTGTTAATAAAACAGGACTAGAACACAAGATCAGTGTTATATATACATTACCTTGAAATTCTAAAGCAATGTACACCAAAAACAAATTGATTTTTGTTTGTATATCGACACGACATCAACAGCAGAAAGGTAATTATGTCATATAAAGGTGTGAGAACGCTTCAGCGATGGTATAAAGTATGCGATGAATTACCAAAAGTAACTAGTAATGATTGGACATTAGTAACTAGTGTGGTGTGTCTAGTCCTTTCTTGGGTGCAGGCTGAACTCTCTCACTCAGGTTTACAATGTGGCAACCATTCTAAGTAGCTCATAACCTTACCGGTTATAGATAGGTACGCCTTGCTGACTAGTAAGTGCCAAGAAGCACGAAACTTAAGTCCAAGACTTCCTCTGGATTGCCTACAACGATCTAATATCATTTTCAGAAGCATGGTTACTGAACAAAGAATACTCTTTTCCATAACTTCATCATCTGGCTCTACAGTCATATATACATTATAGTGAATGAATGAATGAATGAATTAGTGTTATGAACGACATTAATGTTTAAATAACATCAAATCAATAAT